TAGGGTAGAGGTAGAGAAAACATGGGGAAAGATAACGGCGAGAATTAAGCGGGAAAAGCGGAAGCGGGTGGAAAGGCAGAATGTACAGGTACGCGACCAAATGGGGGAACTAAAAATAGGAACAATAGTTTACCGGAAATTGGGAACCAACAGAGGGAAACAATTGCTACGGTACGAGGGTCCATTCAGAGTGGTTGTTATTAGGGAGCATAACCTGGTAACTATTGAGAGCGTGAATGAGCCCAGAAAGAGGAGAACCGTTCATATCGAACAATTAAAGCTCCCAATGATAGAGTCGGGACATAGACCTACGGATTCGTAGTACCCTCACCGCTGTATATAAAACAGAGAAATATGTTTTTTGTGGCTGTCAAAACAAAACAAGTTGTAAAAAATTTTTTTTTTTGTTGTATTATTTCATGTATAGAGGAAATTGTGTTTTTTTTGTTGTTGTTAGGAGTTCTCAAGTGGTAGGAGTTCTAAAGTGCTGTGTTTAGTTTCAGTGTTTTTAAATTACTTTTCTTTATTTATTATTTTTTTTCCAGTTGAGTGGAACTATTTTATTTTCTTTTAAGGATATACTGTAAAACCAATTGTAAAGTGTTAAGGCTGGTCACCGTGGGCTCCGATCTAGCAATATTTAAGTTTCCGAAAATCCTGTTCGTAAACTGGTGGGGGGGAGATAAAGACCGGAGACTGGCGGTATCAGCCTTAATACTATCTGGTAATGTAAATAAACAGGCTAAGTGTATATAAGGAGGCTTATGGAACGAATAAAGTAGTGTTATTTCAGAAGTCGTGTATGTTACATCTTTTCCCTTTTCCTTCTTTTTTTTTATTTCTTAAGTCCGACGACGCTTAACTTATATATATATATATATATATGTATAAGGGAGTTGTCAGCAAAAAGGAAAGGAATATAACTATGGATGTTTTAATAAATTCAGAATTTGGTTAGAGAAAAGTTGTTTTTGTCAGCTTTAAGATTCACTGTCTTTGGTTGAAGCTGGATGTGGAGGGTTTCAGAAATGAGTCGTTTGTCATGGTTGAGAACAGTGGCAAGGATGGATGTTTTGTCGAAGTCAAATGAATGATTGAGGGAGAGAGAATGTTCGGATAATTTGGAAGCGGTGAAATTACGAGAGGATACAGAATATTTATGTTGGGTTATGCGGTCTTTTAGGAGATTTTTGGTTTCACCAATATAGGATGAAAAACAATTGGGGGTAGAACATGGAATGGTAAACGATATGAGAGCGGTGTGAGAGAGGAAGAGGATCTTTTTATTATACACATCCCTAAAAGATCCTCTTCCTCTCTCACACCGCTCTCATATCGTTTACCGTATTCCATGTTCTACCCCCAATTGTTTTTCATCCTATATTGGTGAAACCAAAAATCTCCTAAAAGACCGCATAACCCAACATAAATATTCTGTATCCTCTCGTAATTTCACCGCTTCCAAATTATCCGAACATTCTCTCTCCCTCAATCATTCATTTGACTTCGACAAAACATCCATCCTTGCCACTGTTCTCAACCATGGCAAACGACTCATTTCTGAAACCCTCCACATCCAGCTTCAACCAAAGACAGTGAATCTTAAAGCTGACAAAAACAACTTTTCTCTAACCTATAGCCAAATTCTGAATTTATTAAAACATCCATAGTTATATTCCTTTCCTTTTTGCTGACAACTCCCTTATACATATATATATATATATATATATATATATATATATATATATATATATATATATATATATATATATATATTCACTTTCACTTTCTATTAACTTTCGTTCAATATTCCATAATTTTTCTACATAATATATCTCTCGTAACTATTTAGGCTTCTACTAGCATTCTTCTAGTTCTAGCTTCGTCCGATAACCGTTACAGATGACGCCACCTCCACATCCCTTCTCTCTCCACCTTCTTTGTAACGACTTCATTCTCACTTTGACATTTTAGGAGAAAGGTATTACTTCTTTTATTTCTTTCTTATTTCAGCTTTCTCAATTTCTTCCCTCCTTCCTTTCATTCCTTTTCTCTGTTGTTAACTCTCTATTATATTATACATTGTCTGTACATCTTGATAGACTTTACAATATCTCAATTTACTATCAAACTACTCCATTCTCAATGTTTTCTTTTTACTATTTATTTTATTCTCATTTCTTATATAACTTAACTTTTCTTTTTTATGTTTTTACATTTTATTCTAAGATTCCCAATGTAACACTATTGTCACCCCCTTTTTGATTATACCTACTTCATCATTCCACGCTATGTAACAGTCTGTATTATTTATCACTTAGTTCTTAGTCATTATTCTAACAATTTTATTTTACTTTATATCTATCTATTTTATTTTTCTTTTATCTAGATCTATTTTATCTAGATCTAATCTATTTTATTTTCTCATTTTTTTTTTTGTTATTATCTTTTTTACCATCATTACTTAAGTTTCTCATACCTTGTTATCTGGTTATTTTCTTAGCCCTGATGATGGCCTGAACTTCAGGTCGAAACGTCGGCAGATGTAAAAAATAAATATTATAATTTATTTTTGCCTTCCTTTTTTTGACTGAGCACCCCAACTATCCTTCTTATATTATATTATATCAACGGTCAAACATCTCTACATCATCATTTTTCTCAGCTGTCTAACCTACCTTACTTTCGGTTTATGTTAGAATGTCATGGATTATTGTCTATTTTTACAGTGTCTTTTTTTCTTGGCTCTCAACGAGAGATGTGTTCTATTCTGTCTGTCTGATTTAGGATGTTTTCTGTCCTGATGTTCTCTGAATAGGACAAATTGCTCTGTAGTTGAATTTTTCAATTATATGCTGGCATCTAGAGAAGAGCAGGGGAATCGTGAATCGAATCAAAGAGTGGATTCCTCTGAAAGAATCATACTCTAGCGAGAAGAAGAAAGAATCACGACTCGCTTGGAAGCGGTCAATTTTTAATTCTTGGGAATCGGAGATGTAGGAGTGAGGTTTCGAGTCGATTCTCGATGAAGCCGCCACAAAGCTGTCCTATAGCTTTCTCAGTTCTTCCTAATTCTCATCAAGTTTGTTCTAGAAGATCTTCCAGTCGTGTTCCATTACTTTCTGAGTTGTTTTATTTACTTTCAGAATATACTATTTCATGATCATTACATGCTGCTTAGGAGATTTGTAACCTCTGCTTATTTGCATTAATATTTTGTTTATTTATTTATTTTTCTCTCTGACATCAGCCCCAGGATAATAAATTTATTTTTCATTTCATTCACAATTTATATACATAGACCAAAATCTGATATGCATAATTAATACAAATTTTTCCTGTCCAGTATAAACTACCTTCCTTCTTATAAGATTCATAACTTTTTATTGGTATATATTTGAATCCGGAATTTTAATTTAATTAGTTTTAAAAAAAAGTTTATTGCCTGAATAACCAACCATAAGGTTTGTAAATTTTATTTATTTTTTCTATAAAAAGTTCTTTTTTAGTTTATCAATCGAAGAATAATTCTTAAGAATCGATTCACCACAATGATTGAATCGTTGCGAATCGGTTCAGTTAAAATAATCGAATTTCACTGGGTTCTAATTTATATCTCTTGTCACGTTTTTCCTCGTTTATAAATTTTCTTTTTTACTTAAAATTGTAAACGATTTGAAATTTCAGGAAACTGCCAATTCTTGTTAGCTAGTAAGTATTATAAGTAAATTAATTGTTTAGGTTTCTAAATCATATAGGATTCAAGGAATCATGAGTCTTGGATGAGCTGTAGTAGGTAAAACGTAAGAAACATTATTTATATATTTTTTTTATTTTAATAATGGTTATAACTGAGTTATCATCATGTCAGGCTGTACATAATAACCTTGTTATAAATTACATTATAAAAGAATTTTTTTAAAGAATGATAAGCGTTGATATCCACAGATTGGAGAGCAGAACATAGACTTAGGATTGATTCACAATACGTAATTCATACAATATGGAAAGTCAATTTATTCCAATCAATGGGGCAAGATTAGAACAAATTTAACATTTTTTTAGTAAGGTACTCTTGTTTCTAGATTTATTATTCTGCCATAACTTGTAAGAGAAAGACTGGCCTTACATATTAATATTTTTTTCAGCATTTTAACTTAGATAATAAAGATAGAAGACCCTTAAAACTTTGAAACGTGTCTCAAAGTTACCCCATCTTACGGTATTTTAATACATTTTTACACATTGAGATAAACGAATTGATGGTGGAAAAGAATACGACCACCCGAGATGTGTTTATTGAGTAATATCTAAACTTTAGAATTGTAAGTGCAGCTTTAGATTCTAAAGATAAACTACACAATTCACAAACTATGGAAAATACAAACGTGTAAGTGGGAGTGTTGCTCAAGGATAGCGTTTGTGTTCCTCTATCTGTTAGTGATCCATTTGCTGTCGGTTTTCCAACAAAAAATAAAGGTAATTTGGTTAGTGTTATTGTCGCTTTTACACAGTGCTTTACGTTCTTGTAACGATTTAAATCCATTTTGTTCACCCACCATCTTCTTTGTTTTATTTGTTCTATTCACTTGTTCCAAAAATAACAAAGAGCTTACTCGAAGTAGCAGGTGTTGATAAAGGGGAGCTAGCGATGTTGGCCGAGAATATTATTGTGGACTTCCTAGGGATCATCCACTATCATCACACAGTACTTGGAGATGTATTTTATTAATTATTTATTCAATTTTAAATTTTTTAGAATCGTCTTATCTTTTTAGCTATGTTTGTGGAATTATTTTGGTATATACGAATTACTCGTATATGTGCGGTTTAGTGTTGAATTCCTGGCATTTATTTATTTTTTTTTTTTGTGATGAAAATATGTATGTTATGGTTTATTGTTGATACTTTATAGGACTACTGTTATAAAAAGGGAAAAAAAAAAGAAGATATGTATGTATATATATAATATTAGAAAAATGGAATGTAATAGTTGTTCTGTAATATGTTCATACGGATTGATAAGTATGATGTGTGTAAAACAACCCTATGTAGTAGGGCAGCATTAGCTTCAACTAAGTATTTCTCACTCTGTTAAGTTATGTTTTGTTGTCTTTTGTTTCTTTGAGATTACCCAACATTCGTCATGTTTGTTTCTTTCTCTGCGTCAAACATCTGCATATTGGGTTTTTGTTTATGGGTTTTTTATTCTGCTTTTTCCACATATTCCATATTATGAATCCAGATAGAGTTATTATAAAATGTAATAATTACGGGAATTTTTTGGCAGTAACTTCCTCATTTGAATGCGATGATAGTTTTTCAAACTTTATGACAATATGCACCTGAAATAAAAAAAAGAAAAGAAGTTATCGAGCGTAAAACAACAACTGCAGTTACATAATGACATAGGTATGGGCCAATAATAAGGCTTCAGAAGCCGAATAGTGCAAAGTAACTAATCTGTGAGTATAAAATTGAAGTTATCTCAAATAACGAGAGAATATATATATATATATATATATATATATATATATATATATATATAGAGAGAGAGAGAGAGAGAGAGAGAGAGAGAGAGAGAGTAAATAAACATTAAAATCAGAAAGGTATTCATTCATATATGTTAATAAAAGATTGTATATTACAGAGATACTACATTACTGAAAAATAAACAATTCACGAAAAATTTATCTTGATGCCCAACTCTGATCATTATATTAAATTCAGCCAGATTTCAATTCTTGTCGACGAGTATTTATCATCAAGAATATATTCAACTTAAAACGATTAGCGGTCTGCACCAGAAAAAAATAAAATAATTTTATGATTAATGTGAAAGCAACTCGAGGTTTGATAATATCTACAGTTATTTTTTTTTTTATTATGATTCTGGAAGTATAGCTGTTCCAAAATTAACGTAATCTGTAATATGTCATAACTCAGATTAATATATCAGAATCACTTATTTTTTTACTCCGAGACTTGAATTGCAAAAACTTGTGAGAGTCTTGGTAATAAATTTTACGGGTTCCAATAATTAAAAATTTAGGATATATGCATTTATGCATGTATGCAAATTTTGTCCTTCGATATAATATCAAAAAAAAAAAAACCTATTATTCCTCTATGATTAGATGGAGACTTGAAGGTACAAAGCCTGTAATTATTGAATGTACTTGAAAACTTGCTTTAGAAATATTCTATAAAGATCAAAGATATTTATTAAATTGAGGAAACCACGGATCAGTTCGGAAAATCATGGTTAACAAGATTGATTATGCATAGAAAATAACGGAACTTTAATAAGTAATAATAAGAAATTAAGGGAAATATGTAAACAAAGTTTTAGTTATTAGAGGTATTTTCTTGTTTATATCTAAATATAAATTTAAGTATAAAATTCTACTCTACTTATTTGCTAAATTTATGGTTGAATCAATAAACTGATTGCATTAAATTATTCACTCCCCAAGCAGCATATCCCAAGTTGGCATGTTCGATATTAATCATACTTGTAATAATAACACAATCAGCAAAAAATATAACCATATCACTACTTTTTACATAGTTTCCAAAGAATTATGTATGTATTTTTTTTTTTAACTTCTTTGGAAACAACTAAAATAAGCGTAAAGCTAGAAAAGAGACATAAGGATTTTTTTTTTTTTAACGGAAAAATCCAAACAACAAAGACAAGAGTCTCCAACATATATAGTTAACTTGAGACTTCTCTTTCCTTCAGTATGTATTTGGATGGCTTCGTGAGATATCTACTGTATTTTTTTTTTCCTTCCTGCAAATATGTTATTTTGTTTTTTCTGCCCTGATGATGCCTGAATTGCTGAAACGTTGGCATGTTAACTATTTACTTGTTTGTCGGAGAGTCATGGCTTTGTTGTTTGGATTTTTCCATTTAGAAAAAAAATTCCTTAAGTCACTTTTTTAGCTATAAGCTTATTTTAGTTTATTTCCAAAGAAGTTAAAAAAATTAAGTCCACCGAATGGGCTTAAATGCCACCATCTTCATTGGATAAATAAAATACCCATATACGCATACACTTCACTAAAACTATAGTTTTATTAAAATATATATAGACTAGTTGGCCCGTGCAAATAATTCGCAGAAACTTTTGTTTACTGAAGAAATAGCAAAACAATATGGAAACAAGAAATTCCTATGTATTAGTAAGGAAGGAATTAATATTTTTTCCTTGGTCGATTACAATATCTCATTAAACATAATAGACAAAAATATTTCTACAAATTGCTTTGCTAGGACCTATTTTTAAACGCTGACTAAAACGATAATAAAAATAATACAGACAAAATAATGCCCCGATCATGGGATTTTGCTTTTTTGTTTTTTCTGTTATAACTTATTTATTGAAAAATATTACAATCTGTTTCAAGGACATCTATAATAGTGAGGAATTTTCTAAATTATTAAAAAAAATAAAAATTAAGAACAACCAAATGCCTTTAAGACATAATAAAGTTTTTTCTTCTTCTTTTCTTCCCTACCTCGCCTTTTAGGCTATACGGGATTTTACCTGGGCCGGAGGGTGAGGGCGAGGAATTTAAAATCCCCTTCGGCACCGGGATGCGAACTCATACTTTTTTAATCTTCTCAAATCTCTTATTCGGTTGCCAGGCAACTCGCGGTGCAGTGCACACGCTTTAGCCCATTCGGCCACCCCGCTCCCCAAATAATAAAGTTAATATATCAGCCAGTAAAAAAAGTGTAGTAGACTATTCTACTCCGAAATGCAATATCTTTAAACAGGAAGACATTATTAAGTATACCAAAACTAATGGACTGTATCTTTGTTAATAATTGTAGGATTTTTTTCCAGTTTTGCAGGTAATTTAGTAATCTTTCTAATTATCCTGGGTACAATCCAGAAAAGAATGCACACTTTTTGAGTTATTGGCGAATAAAGTTTCTTTTCCTTCATAAGTTTTTTTCCAGAAATTTCGATAGGATAGGACTATTTTTCGCATGCGAAGGAGAAGAATATCTTCAAAATGAATGGCCAATTTGATGAATAATTGACGAAGTTATAGCATACCGAAAAAAACACCTTTTAGAAATAATATATATGATTAAGTCAATAAAAATATGCATAATAAATTTCATTAAATTAAAAATTATAATCTCTCGCTGTCTTATTTTGACTGCCTTCCTCATTTCACAGACAATCGATTATTAACAATTGAATTTTTTTAAATTGTTAAATGAGGATTGATCAAAATTATAGCATTTATACGCTATTCACCGAATATTTTCCAACATTGGGACAAATCTAATCAGCTGTTTTTGAATAATAAGCGTATCCATAATACATTTACGTACCCTTAAAGCTGAACTGTTTGAATGAATTCAGACCCGAAACGAAATTTGTTCCTTATTACGCCAAACATATAATTCGAGTGGAATGTTTCGATACCGAGATCAAAAATTTAATTAAACTCCCTTATGAATATAAAACTCCTCTATGTTCGATATTATAAGAATATATATAATCTGAAAAAGCTAATATCTGATTTTTAAAGTTTTTTATTGACGTCAACATGCACATAATTATAAATTTTTACAAAGATACTGATTATTATTACTTTCCAAAATTGAATACCTTTTTCTATTAAATACTTGCACCTGCTTATTTCCACATAATATTATAATTCGGCCGATATACCATTTGAATTATAATAGTACGAGCAACTAGTATATGGATATATGTAAATGTATATATATAAAAATTTGAAATTTCTATTTACCTACAGAAGAGTCACAATACACTCATTACTTGCACTCTTCGACTTAAAGTCTGTCCTATTTACCTTCACTATGTCTAAATTCCTCAGAACGAGATAGTTAAATATCTTTTATAGATATTTGACAGAAGAATAGAAACCAACTATCAAGTTCTAATGAAAGAAAGGAAAACTTACGAGTTCAGGATATTTTTACCATTGACAGTCTCTTTTTTTATTTAAAACTTTATTTGTAGAGAAGCTTTCGGTGCACAGGCACCATTTTCATCTCTTTTATTAGTTTTGTCTACTTAAAAAAAAAACAGAAAAGATAAGAACAGTGATCTTGTTCTTCTCGGAGAAAGCTGACATGAGACGAAGTACAAGAAAACTGTTCTTATCATTTATGTTTTTAAATAGACAAAATTAATAAAACAGATGAATATGGTGGGTGCATGTGAATATGGAGGATGCATGTACACCGAAAGCTTGTTTACAAATAAAGTTTTAAATCAAAAAAGAGAGTGTGCAGTTTAAAATTCCCTAATAAGAAAAAAACCAACGCTGAACATGAAACTACGACTATTAAGCTCTCTCCTTTCACGATGTTCGAAATTAAAACTAAGCATAAATTAAACACTTATGCTTACTTCAACTCACATGGACTTACACTATGCATATATACTGCCAGTAAGACCCACATATGTAAACTACAATCTTTTCAGTCAAAAACTTTCATAATAACTAGGGACCGGATTTCCATGTCATTGCACTTTTTATTCGCTTGCGTGTAAAAACTTCTAATCCGATTATCTATCTGTTTCATGATCTGTAGAATAACATATGAGCCTTTCAGTTAACAGAAGGATTAACTCCAATTTCAACATTTTTGTGTAAAGTCATTTTAGTGATATTTTTTTCAGTGAGTGAGTTGATTTCAGTGTTGAAATATAGAACTGTGAATAACGGTATAAATTTTTCCACTAGAAATATTATACCTAAAATTAATAATCAAAATTGTTGAAATTTGTGAACTGAAAGGCTCTTATTGTAATTTATATTGCACGAAATTGCACTTTTCGGCATTTATGGGCTTAATTGCACCTTTTGGAATTTTATTGCACATTTTTCAGATTTAGATTTTTATTTTTATTTCGTCTTTTACATATGTGTTTAGTTATTTTATTTATTTCTATATAAGATTTATAGTTTAGAACAGAGGTATCCTATCCATGTTCTGCATGTCACTATATAGAACGATATTATTGGACTTCAATGGTCTTTAATATTGCAAATCAAAACTCTTTTACCACAGCCCAATTTCGTAAGACAATAATTTGTGTTAAAAGTAGAGGGAAAAATGAAACTGGTGTGATGTAGGAACCAGATTTATTTACTTTTCTTTTTTCGCTCTCTTTTACCATTTTCTGACACAAGGATTTGAACTTGTAATCTTACATACGAAATTGAATAGCAGTAACTTCGTTACGAAATAAAAGATTTTCATAAAGTTTTGTAATCAGTATATTGAAAAATATGTTTTTCATTTATTGCGCAGAGAGCACTCAATTTGTATCACAGGAATCAGTAGTCGAAATCCCACAAAATAAAAAAAGAAGCAACAAAATCGGTCAACTAGTTCCCGAGATAATCTTGGCACAGACAGACAGGCTGTTTTTCGAACCCAGGGGGTTCTGAAACTTATAGATCCGTTGAAAACTGCACAACGGAAATTTGATCCGATCGCAATACTCTCCTTACTTAGTATAGGTAGGAAAGTAAAAATGTTGTCAATAAAGATAAAAAAATGTATCTGTTGTGGTTCTAGTCTCATATCAGAACCAGTCCTACTAGATCTCCATTAAAGTGGGAGACTCAATGGCTTAAACCAGTTTGGACCAGTTCTTCAGAGGCTAAAGAGGACACTTTACGTGCTTATATTAATTAAGCAGTAACCTGGTAGAATTTTAACTCATTGAAACATTTTGAACTTAATTTTATAAAATTTCTATTATTATTATTTAGTTCTAGAATTAAAATAAAACAAGTACTAACCCTTGAGGTGGGATTCTATCCAAGGTACGTAATAAGTGGCGTCAGTTTCGACAGTGGGGCTGTCTGGGTCGCAGGAGGCAGCACCGAAGGAGACCAAGCCCACCAGGACCCACCTCTTCGTTTGGGGATCCAGGTAGATGACTGGTCCACCCGAGTCTCCCTAATTACATAATCCACTTAATTCACAGCTAATGGAACAATAAATTTTAATCACATTTGAATAATTAAGCTTGTTAAATATGCCAATTAGTCGTTAGCGTATTGGCAATACACAACAAAAAATACTAGGTATCTGAAAAATACCTTATCGAAATTTCTGAAACAATAACAGATTTCGGCAAAAGGCTCCTTTCTAAATATTAAAAGATTAGAATATCATTTGTTAACGACTTCTTATTTCCTCCTCAGACTTCTTTCAACCTCTCTTCTATTCCATGATTTATCTAGCCAACATGGTTCTCAGGAAAAATCACTCTTGCTGTTACATTCTTGTACGCATACTCTTACCAGGAAACCTAGGTTCACAATCTTGTTTTCCAGTGCTGCCCTTAGACATTTAGCGCCCTCGGGCAATAACATCATCTAATCCCAAAAATTAAATTAATTTTTAATTTTTTTTATTTTAATGAAATTTACAACTGTATTACATGAAAAATACAACAAGTAAGTGTGACATTGGTAAAATGACATGTAAAGCATGAAGAGAAACTACCCATTGGTAGAACTCAAATTAATGTTCTATATTAGAAGGTCCATCTTCTTTTCAGATGCCTCGGAGGGTTATCAGGGATCGAGGAGGAAGCAAGATTGGAAACAAGAGGGTTCGGATGGTTCTGCAGTTTGTTATCGAAGGATATTTATCTGGATTGAGCCAAATCGGAAAAATATGGAACATTAAGGCCTTTATGGATGATTTTATTTGTGACAATATAAGGAGCGTTGAGGATTTTACGAAGGATTTTAAATTGTAAGGATTGGATACGAGAGAAATTCGATGGTCTATTGGAGCCCCAAAGCTCAATTCCGTAAGTCCAAATAGGTCTTATTATTGTCATATATATGAGTCTTTTGTAAGTAGTTGGCAGTTTAGAGCGTTTGTCTAGGAAGTCATAGGTTTACAACGAAGAGTGGAGATAATTTGATGAGATTTATTGGAATTTATTTTAATCCTCCAGTTTTGACACCATTTTTCAAGACTTGTGATGTGTGATTGAAGAGTTCGGAATGCAATAGATGGATCGTTATTAACTGATAGGATACACGTGTCATTGGCATAGGTGGTGATGACCGTGCTGGAAATTAATTTCATAAACTGTTTTCTGTTAAGTAATATTTGGATTTTTATTTCATGGAATATGCCTCTAATTGGGTTTCTTTAATATTAAGCTAAAATTAATTGTTCTCATATAAGGTGAACGTACCAGTTATGGACAGTTGGCTCAGTGATGGACAGGTTGGCTTTAAATATAAATAATAAACTTTCTTGTTGATTTAAAAGTTCCAATGTTTTCTAGATTGAAGAACAATACTCTCTATTGACAAATGTATGAACAAAGTTTCCAACAGAAAATTTTAAAATGCCTTTAATTGTTCAGTCTGTTTCATACTTTCCAACTAATAGTTTTGCTAAGAGTAAATTGAACATTTACAAAGGTTATATCTTATCTTTATAGTAAAATAAAAATTTAGAATTTTTCTGAGCTATGTACATTACTTGTACCAACCTTCTTCAATTACTAGAATAATTGAACCTGGGAGTGTCCATTAGTAGTGCAAAAAAGGGTGTTTTTTTAAAATGGAGATTATACCTGGATATTGGAATATATTTTCAATTTGAAAGTGGTAAATAGAAAAAGGAGACCCTAGAAATTTTAAATGTCCAACGGACAATTTTATAACTTGTAATAATTACGGCGGCATAAGGCAATAATTTCTTAGCTATTTCTATCACTGGTGTTCTTATCCTACTCTATATGCTGGTTCCAGTGCCCCCCATATTGGCACTGTTGTTACACTCTTTAGATAAAAAGGAGACCTAGAATTAACTATCTTAGTCAACCCATATTGTTATTGTGTAATTCATTATAAGGATGCCTATGGCTACTTTCAGTGGAATAAATCGTATGTAAAAATTAAGTTTTTTTACAGAAGAGCATCATAAAAACCGATTATTTCTTTATGTTTTATTAGTACAATTTCGTAATTTGTTTTCTTATTTTGAAGACTACTTATGTTTCCTTGAGCGCAAAAAGAATAAACACGTAAAATTGTTACATACGGCCTTTTGCACTAACAGTAGCTATAATTAACAGAGATTATGAATAGAAGTGGTATTTATAAGATCTTTACTGTCTGCAATTTGTTAATTCCTGAAGTGGAAGGATATGATACCAACTTATATAATGATTCATCTTCATCACATTTATGTTTTTTTTAAAAGCAGAAAAAAATGCTTTGAATAATTCTTGAATTGTTTCTAGACAAAATCAAATTAAATATATTTCTATATTATATTTTCAAATGCAATAACATATTACCCTGCAGGCTCCTTTGGCCTTCGCCCCGGTGCAGATCTGGCTCACCTTCCACGGTAGAGGATTGTACATGAAGAGGAAGTTGCCCTTACACCTGATGTACGGGAGTATCGTCACGTCTATCTCCTTCAGGACTATAGAAGGAGGTTTGTCAGGTGCGGTCATACCCCAACCTCAAAGACAACAATCGACATAATTAGATCTATTCAGAGAGACAATCTATGTATTAAAAGTTTTGTATATAACGAACCTCACTCTACTCTAAGTTATACGTACAAAACATAGTGCATTATACATACCGATGATCTTGACGTCTTGGTTTTCCAAATACATCTTCTTGGTCGGCATGCAGATAGGGCTGATGTTTGGCCCGAATTTGAGTGGCTCCGCCAGGAAGAGCAGAGATATATCGTTCATGATCATGACAGGGTTGTAGTACTCGTGTTCGATGTGCTTCTCCACTGGGACTACCATAGTGTTCTCCGTCACTGAGCAAAATATACGAAAAGATTTGAAAAAAGTCGTCATTCAACAGGGTTCAATGATTATTCAGGGTGGCTACCAGACGGTAAAAGTAAAATTCCCCGACAATTTTGCTAAAACTATTTAATAATAGTTTTCTCTGACCAATATGTCGCGATACAAATATTAAAAAGGTATTATTTATAACTGTATTTATTTATTATAAATGAAAGAAAATTGACTACAAAATGATTTGAGTAAAAAAAAATTAGTCTTTTAAATAACAAATAAAATGTTGAAGAAAGCTAGTCGACTATTCTACATATCATGGGTGATAAATATTCAGGACGCAGTATTTTTAAAAAAAAAAAAAAAAAATAATAAAATAATTTTTCATTTGTGCCAACGATTCAACCCAAACATGTAGGTCATCTTCAGGGCGTGGTTTGTGCACTGAGTGTTCAAGTACTGGGTATGGATGTTCGAGTACTTGAACACTCTCAGTGCTCAAACCACTCCCTGAAGATGACTCACATGTTTGGGTTGAAACGTTGGCACAAATGAAAAATTATTTTATTATTTTTTTTTTTTTTTTTTATAAAAGACTGCGTCCTGAATATTTATCATCCATAACAAATAAAATGTTTTAGATGAAGTATTTTCTAAGCTTGATTAATATTTTTTATTTTAGAAAATTAAACTTGTAGTAATGTATTTTTATCGCCTTTATTTTATTTTCATAAACTGAGAGGGGAAAAAAGTTGAAACTTGACATATCAAGCTATGATTTTCTCAATTATAAAATAAATTGAGCCACGGAGGATTCTAATATTAATGTAGTTTCTCATAAGTAATTTAGTTTATTTATTTCTATAAACAGCATAATAATCATTCATATGATACCAGCTGTGACATTATTGGTTAACAAATGCTCTTTTAGCACCTTCAGTTGAACAAATGAGGGCTTGTCTGCCAGATCTGGGCCCAGGTGTATGACAAAAAGTAAGTAATACCGGTATGTTTTTCTTTTTAAAAAAGCACTGTTTTAAGTTGTATTCCATTTTGCTTAAATTGTATTCATTACCCATGTTTGCTTATAAATGGACCAGTTACAGTTATTGGCAGAACAAGGTGGGAAGATAAAGTGACCGTGGTCGTTTATAACGACTAAGTTTACCCCTTCAAGGTAATTTTGAAAAAAAATATTTACGTACAAAAAAAGTTTTCTGACTTTTCTCTATTTTGAAAATTCCCTGACTTTTCCATTTTTCCAAGCCTGTCGCCACTCTGTTATTTTTTTAATATTATAATTAATTGTAGGTTGTTCGAAATAACTGCAAGTTTACAGACTAAGGTAGAATCCAATTGGCATATGTTCTCTCCGAACACAGTTGGGTGAAATATTCTACAGGAGGAAAATCTCTACTTATAATAAAAAATTAGAATGATGCGTCATATAAAAAGAGACGATGTTCAATGCACAAAAGGATGAATGAAAGACATAAAATTACTTAAACAGCTCTGGGGTAATATCCATCCTAAAAACAACATAAATGCACAGACTAGATAGACCTTTTCTTAGAACAGCGTAGGCATCGATATGGTACCTATCAATTATTTAATAATTATGATTAAGACGAACTATAAATAATAATAATACTTGTATAAATGGATATAGTTTACATTGAGACGATAGTTTGATTAGTACACAGAGGATGGAATAACTCGTGTTTGGGCGAAAATTTAGAAGAGGATTCATTATTCCAAAAATAGATATGACGAATAATGAAGTATGTGCCAAAGAAAGCAGTTTTAAGGGAGGGGATGTAAGTTGGGATCTTGAATTTTAAAGATCAAGGATACAGATCAACATTATAAAACAGACATTGAACAAAACAGTGAAACAACGTCAAGTAAATAAAATATAAAAAACATGCATTTATTAACGGCGACATTAGTATCTTTTCTTTTTGAATAAGAATTACAATCATGAAGGAAATCAAAATTTAAAATAATAATGATATTTCCTTAATATATCAGATATATCAATTTTAAAACAAAGATGCCGATCATATCTTGGTAGAAAATTCTCTCAGATGACGTAGATGCTAAAAACATCTTCTGACAATTAATTTAATTTTGGATAATTTCTTTTCGTCTTGCTCAAGACTTAAACAAGGAGTGTCTTTGTGTGTGTATTGCTTTATAGTTTCTTGTCTGTTGAATATGATCTTCATGTTTAATCTTAATAAACTTACAATAATATTTCAGTGGCGTTTTGAGACTATTGTTTTAATAGCCATTCTCTACCATGAAAAAAAATAATACTGAAAATACACTACACTAATGTACCAATAACAATAAACAATTCAAATAACACTAAAATAACTACCTCATGATCTGAAAAAGCCAAGAATTTCTGGAAAAACAAAACAACCATTACTGTTTACTAGCCCCTCAGCATGGCTCTCATACTCCGAATATTTTTGTAACAGGAAAGTTGTATTTGTGAATAACGTTGAAGTTACCACTTATTTGGTGTTCAATGGGATATATTTTCAAAGTATAATTTAGTCTCTATCTTCATAGTACTTAATTCAATTGTAACACCTTCATAATTAACACAGGCGGATCTACGGGGAGAGGGGGAATGGACTTTAGAGCTGAAATCCCTCCTCTTCACCCCCCAAAAATGGTAAAATATAACCACGTTTTATCAAACATATTATCTCAAAAAGTATTATTGTTCGTCTAATTACATTTAATATGACTTAATCACCATTTTATATAGGTAGTTAGTTTCTTTCTTTCTTCCAAAGTAATTATCCTAAAATATACATAAAAAAAAATTTCGGGTTGAAGCTCCCCAAAATTAAATCCGGAATCCGTTAGTGATCATTAAAGTGTGTTCGAATCATTAATAATTTTACTGTAAAAAAAATTATCTTAAAAAATGTCAGTAATATGAATATGTTTGTTCATTATATGGCATGAATGTGAACAAAACAGGCTTAAAGTGTCGTCAAAATATATTATATTTATTTAAATTCAACATCAAGATCCTTAGCAAATAAATGTTATTCTATATAGGTATATTAAAATCTTATATATATATATATATATATATATATATATATATATATATATATATTTACAGATAGCCATTATGATATAAAGACGTTGTATATATTGTTTATACAGTAATAATAATAATAACATTAAATGTATATATTTTTTATTACTGACATTTGGTCTTGTCATGGGCTCCAGCTATGACGCTGATGGCCCTGTCCCCAAGAGGTTCGGTGCAATGTGCCGCGGTGATTGCGTGCTTTTCGCTGAGGATGGAAGCACCGCAAAAGTGCCTCAAGCCTTCCGTCAGGACGAGGACAAGCATGAAGGGGTACTGGTTAGGTGAAGTTTCTTCACCGCCGATTATCCTTACTTGTTTCTGAATAAAAAAATTGTTCAACAGGTAAAGTATAAATAAAAAAAATGTAAGTACATATGTCCTAGGTACGTTCCTATACCAAATCATCAACAACCATCGTCCTTCTTACACCTACAACCTTCTCCAGTTCAAATTCTCAGTCCATTTCCTGTCCACAAGATCTCGACCTTCTAACTTTTACATGCCTTCTCACAGATCTGTCTCATTCCAAAATTCCTTTATTGTTCGCTCTGTCAATTTATGGAATTCCCTCCCTATTACAATTCGACATTCCCCATCCATATCCACATTCAAAACTCTCCTATTCCAATTCCTATCCCAAAAACAGTCAGATAGTTGCTAACCATTCGAGCTGATTTTAATAGGGAATTTGATATATTTTTATTTTTTAATTCTTTATTACTTTCTTAAAAGGGTATACTGGTCTATCAGTGCAAATAGCTTTAAGTGTCTTGTCATAGTGTTAATTGTTTTGTATATAGTTTCGTTTGTTTTGTATATAGAATGTTTACCTCATATTTTCTTTACATTATTTATTTTTTTCGATTGATTTTATTTTGGCCAGATGTAATCTTTTAATTTTGTTCTATTTTGTTATTCTCAAGGGACTGTGTCCCAGAATAAAGTCATTTTTCTATCTAAGTATATTTCGTACAAAAGCTTCATCCCTGGAGTAACGTGTAATTTATTATTTTTTGCAGGAGGTTTATTGTCTTCTTAATATTTCGTTAACATGTTCCAAGAAAGATGTCTTTCTAGAGTTTTAGCGACCATATTTGCAAAGAGCCATAGAACATGTGAACGAAATGATAAAATAAGATGATGTACCTTCTGGAAAAAATAATATATTTATAATATAAAACAATATACAGGTAGACTGGGTACGGTTGTGACAGTCGTCATATTAGCGAAACTATAAGGAATTGCCGACAGGTTTATAAGGAAGAAAGAGACGTTGTGCCTATCTGAAAGTATTTAACAGTATTACAAATACATCGCGCGAAATTAATGCTAGCAGAGGCCTACATTACTTTTTAACAGACAAAAGTAACTATTTCTTGGAATAATTATTGTTATACAGGGTGTTTCAGGGTTAAGTTGTCAAACTGAAAATACGAACTAAGGAACTCAAAACAAAAAAAAATTTCCTCTGAAGGTATGTCCGCAAACGCATTGTTTAGGAGATATTCACACCTATATATTTTCGTTGTTATTAATTATTTACTTTATATGAGATAAACAAAACCTATTTATTTGTTTTACATACTTTATTAATTACATGTAAACATTATCATTCATATTAAATGTTGTTCAAAGTGAAGGTATGTCCGCAAACGACAATATTTTAATAGGCCCGCATTTCTTGCCGCCTCGTCTCAATGCAGCCATATTTCTGGAATTTCTTAATAATTATTACTATGATTTAGTTGAACATATTCCACTACAACTGCGAAGGGACTTGTGGCTTCAATTAGGTGGTGGTCCTGCACATTATGAAAGAGATCCATGATAATCGGTAAATGTTAATTATCCCAATCAATGGATTGGTCGTGCAGGAACAGTGGCTTTGCCTGCACGCTCTCCAGACCTGACACCACTGGATTTTTTTGTTCGGGGTGACATTAAACAAAAAGTCTATGCAAGTCTGGTCAAAGACCTTAATTCTTTGCCACTGCTGCTGTTGAAGAAAGATGCCGAGCCTGTCTTAATGCTCAAAGAAATCACTTTGAACAACATTTAATATGAAAGTTAATGTTTACATTTAATTAATACAGTAGTCAGAACAAATAAATAGGTTTTATTCATTTAATATTATGTAAATAATTCATAACAACGAAAATTTTTAGGTGTGAATACATTCTTAACAATGCGTTTGCGGACATACCTTCAGAGGTATTTTGTTTTCTTGTTTTGAGGTCCTTAGTTCATGTTTTCAGTTAGGCCACTTAACCCAGAAAAACCCTGTATATGTACGAATAGAGTAATGAATGTTTTTCCTCGTTATAAGATAAACATTAAATGTTAAGTTGCATTAAGTTGCACGTTACCGTGTGCAATGGGAATGTCACTCCGCTCAATAATTTGGAAAATCGAAAATTTGAGAACCAACTTCAAATGCGAAACATTAAAACTAAAACATTTTACTGAAAGAGTACTAAAATCTAAAACCAATACCTCTTGAGTCAAGAAATTGAGATTTTATCGATACAATGAAAATAAAATAAAATTAGTATTGAAAGTTTCAAATTTCAGAGCAGATAAGTGAAAAGTTCATATCATAAAAACTACAACGACTTGCTGTTCATATGTAATAATTTCTTAAGCGTTAGTGATACATTTTATGGTTTGTGTATTGCATTATATTTTATTCGTGATTGTAACGATGCACATTATCTGGTCGATCAAACACAGGCGCAACATTAAATTATAATGATATTCCATTAATTGTGAAACGGGCAGATAATCGGTTCTAAAAATGTTGTACGCAAGCGAATAAAATGTGTAACAACATGAAAATCCGGTCTCTAGTTATAATGTTCTTGAGCCCCCAGCTTTGAACATTGCGTACTCAATGTAAAATAGCTCCCACTAACATAGGCTGTTAGACTTTCTAGGCTTAGAATCGAATAATTTATACTCGATTTGAGCGAAGCTAGAAGGGTCTTAAGCTAAAAGTTATGTGATGATTTTGGAGGGAATGGTTAGACTGTTTTATTGGTCATATTATTCAGTGAGATCTCGTAAATGATTGAAACGATTTGGTTGCCAAACAAGACCAAATTATTGTATAAAATTTCTTTTAAACTATTCGGTAAAAATAAGTGTGAGATCCCATTGAACACAAAATACTAAAATTTTTATTATATTAAAAATACTCTCTTTCTTGTCGGTTTCATATTAAATCATGTGTAAGATGGTGATCATATGTGTTGATATGAATTGTCAATATTTTAAAAACTAAAAAGGTTAAAATATATCTTTAGGTTAAACAATATTTTAATTTAAAACAAAAAATCAGATCAGGAAGTCTTATGCATCCTAAAGGAATGTACTTACACATTCTAATTAAATACCTTTGAAGATTGGTATATTAATAGATGCGGATATTCAACCTTGGTGTAGTACACAAGTGCCTTTCACACTCTTTACGGCTCCTGACAAGGGGATATGTCCCGGAGATATGTATCAGTGCATGGTTGATTCGAAACTGTCTTGAGTTTCATTCGAGGGTGGAAAGCTCACGACTACTACTCCAATTTTAAATATAATTTTATGTTAATTTTCCTATCATTCTACCAAGATATTTAAATAAATATGACAGTACAGGACCGCCTCGATAATCCGAAACCTCTGCTATTCCGACCAATAAATACAAAAAAACAGTTAAAATTGATTGACGAGAGGCGGAATGGAAATGGCTGCTATTGCTTCGTGTGGTAGTGTCGAAATTGCATTATGATGTAACTACAAGAAAATAAAAATATTAAAACTAGGCGGTCATACAGAAGTTGAGGAATCCCTTTATGTATGGTTTTTGCAGCAGTTATCACGAGGGTGACTTCGCTGTCGAGAAAGCAGTGCGTATGTCCGGAATCCAATTCCACGCAACCCTTCTTAACAGTACCGTTCAGCTTCTTGGGCACACTGACGACTTTGATATTGCCGCCAGATCGGAACGTTTATTAGGAGAATCATTCTTGGCTATAAAAGATGCAGCAAAGAAACTTGAAGCTAAGTCCAAGTATATGCGAGTCGGAGGAGATGGGCCAGCGACCGGATCTTATGTGGCTGGAACATATAATTTCGAAAAGGTATGCAGTTTTGTCTACTTCGGGTCTGAGATCAACTCCGAAAACGACATCTCTAGAGAAGTCAACAGGAGGATAGCAGCGGCGAGACGGTGCTACTTTGGCCTTTCGAAGCATTTTAGAAGCAGGTTCCTCTCTAACAGGACCAAGATCACTCTCTACAAAACCTTGGTCCGGCCTGTTTTAACTTATGGATCAGAAGCGTGGCCCTTTAGAAAGCAAGATGAAAATAGACTTCTGATCTTTGAGAGATCAATCTTGAGAAGGATTTTTGGTCCTGTTAACGAGGGTGCAATTTCGAGAAGGAAAAATGCCGAACTCGCTTGCCTTTATACGGACATACACATGGTGAAGTTTATCAAGATAGGACGACTTCGATGGGCTGGACACATCGCAAGTATGGATGATTCAGCGATACCCAGGAAAATGCTGTCTGGAAAGATGCATGGACAAAGAAAAGTTGGCAGGCCAAAGGTAAGATGGGAGGATTCAGTGACGGGCTCACGGGTTCAGTAGGACACACGGGCTCTACTGAGAGTCCGAAACTGGAGAGCTGCAGCAGCTGATCGTATCGACTGGCGAAAGCTTTTGGAGGAGGCCCAGTCTCGGTGACGGGATGTAGCGTTATATATGTATGTATGTAACAAGAGGGTGTCTAATCATTATAGTTATAAACGTCTCCGTTGGACATTTAGAATGTCTAGTATCTCCTTTTTCTATTTAAGACTTTAAAATTAAAAATATATTGAGTTATGCAGATATAATCTCCATTTAAAAAAAACAACACTTTTTTGTACTTATGATAGGCACCTCTAAATTCATTTGTCTCAGTAATGGACAGGAGGTCGGTACCAGTAATAGGCATACCACAGAAAAATTCTATAATATTTCCTCAACTATAAAGATAAGATTTACTCTTAGCAAAACTGCAAAACAGTAGGAGGGTATGAAACACAGTGATCTCAAGAGCACTATAGATACATTGATAGACATTTTTGAATTTTCTTTCGGGAACTTTCATACAGTTGTCATTACAGGGCATTATTCTTCAATCTAGAAAAAAATGGAACCTTTAAATCAACAACGATGCTTATTATTTATATTCAAAGTCCAACCTGTCCATCAGTGGACTCCCTGTCCATAACTAGTGCGTACACCTTAGTCTCAAAGGAAAAGTTTTTCTCTAATATTTTTTTTTAAGGAGGATGACAATTAAAAAGTAGTATTTTAATTTTAATTCCACTTGAAAATTTCTTTACACCCATTCTATTTTTCATTTTAGATAAGTCAGAGAAACAACATGAAGACATTTAATAGTTGCTTGGAATGGAAACTTGTACTTTTAAGGAATTTGCTAGATGAGGCGTTTTCTTTAACGACAAAATCAGATCCTCAACGTACATTAAATGATCATTTTCAGAAATAATTTTTTAGTTTGCAATATGTTTTTAGTTTGCAAATTTGATAATAAACATGTATTATTGCTACCTTGTGCTAATTTTTCATCATTATTAATTTGATTTTTGATAATCAGAATATTTTTATAATCCGAACAGAACATGCAATTTAAGTGTTCGGATTATGAATACTCTGTACATTCCCTTAGGATGGATAGGATTTACTGATTTCTCTAATAATTCTTAAATATAAGACCTTCAATCATCTTTCAGTTTGTAGCTACAATATATTTCTAAAATAAAGAAATATATTTGACTTGTGTTATCTATAGAAATAAAAATGAGAAATAAAATCCTGGATGACATTATAAAACCCAAGTGCATTGATAAGATTGACCTTATTGGATAAGCCACAAGGGCAACTTGTTTCTTTCTCTGTAAGACTATCCATGTGGGAGCTGTTGGACTGCTCCGTCCCAGAGGTGCAGACCAGACTGGACCATCCGGCAAGCAGAAATGGGATGCACGGCCTCATCTATCCGGAAAAAAAAATGTATTTTCATACTACATGAATATATTTTTATATTAAATATTTAATAATAAAAGAATAATAATAAAAACAATTTTTATTACCTAATGTCATACAAACATTACTATGTAGTACATGGTGTATTAAGTCTATTGAGACATTTGGTACCAGAAACATATATAAATCAGAAGATATAAGAAAGAAATAATTTTCAAAAAATGATTTCTCGTTTTTTCACATTATTACAATTTTCATTAATATATCCCTCAAAAATGATAACAACAAAATTAAAATTATTTATAAAATTTAAGTCATTTATTTCCAAACTGAATCCTAATCATCATTGGTAAATTTTCAGGAAACGCGAAAAACTCTTATTTTCTATTCTAATTTTAACATCAAAGCCACTAAAAAAATATATAAATAAATAAGCAATTCTTTATTTGGAGCACATATTTTCGAAAATCATTAATTAGTTAAACTTTTAATTCTTTACAAAAGCGTCCCTATTTAACTTTGAGTGTTTCTTAATTAAAGTTAAACTAATCAATGAAAGAGCCTTTTAAAACAAGAAAAGAATAAAAAAGCTTTATTGGAGTTCGGTTTGTAGAGAGTAATTAGTGACGATTACGATTCGAGAGGAAAAAAGTATACAAGAATGATACAATAAAATTAATTTATTTTTAATTTTAATTCGAATAAACAGTTTAAAATTACTTTTCATTTTTCTTTTTTTTTTATATGTATATACTTACAAGTTTCACAACATTCCTTAAATAAAAAGGCCAGTTTTGGAAATAAAACTTATTTTTAAACCACTTTTTATTCATATATTTACCTTTATTTAATTTTTTTTAAAACCAAGTAATTTAACCATTACATTCATTTGTTTTTATAAATAAATACTTATCTCGTTTTTTTTAAAAAAAGGACGACTAGCACTTTGGAAAACTCATTTAGTAGATTACTCAAACACAAAATTACTACATTATTAATTAAATGTTTTGCTTTTTTATCATAGAAAGTTCATTTCAAAACTGTATTTATAAATAAATGGCTCAATTTTAGACAAAGTTAGTACCTTTGTTTCTTGATCGTGGATTTCGACTATACCATTTAACCAATTTATTAAGTTGTAATACTTGGATGCACCGTTCAGATGTTATTGGTAAACAATCAAAAAAGGTCCAAATAAATCGAGGTTTTTCCGGCTACATGATGTTCCCCTGAGGTGAACCGTGCTAAAATTATTGTTTTTCACAAGTTTGCACCTATTTTAAGTTTTAAGTTTGCAACTATTTTAAAAAATGAAAAATTAATAGATTTCACAACTTTTCACTTTTTCGATAACCAATTATTTCCTTTTTTTTTTTAATTTAGCGCTTTGGGGATGGTAGGCGAGGTTCAGATTTTCAAAAAACGATTATAAAAAGTCTTTTTGTTTTTAAAATGATCTTTTAATCCCGATGTATCTGAAACATAAATATTTGACTTTCAATGTTTTTGAAAATCGATATACCAATATTTATATCATCACAAACTATGGCCCACAGAAGTTGGTGAAGGTCTTAGTGTAGTCCGTAGGCCCAGGGATGCCCAGAAGGGGATTACGTTTTGACGTGGTTTTCAATTTTTGAGAGGGGAACATTTCGACAGGGTTGTGAATTTTAAAAATGAAAATGGAAACATGGAACAGAGCGCAGGATCTGTAATTGTATATAATCTATGAGTATTTATATTCTACATTCGTTTGCACTGTTTTTAGGAAGAAGAGAGAAATAAAATATCTTGGGAGGGGTGTGGGAAGGTTTATGTCATTAGCCTTGGGGGGAATGGGCCCTTATGCGCAGGCCAAAACTTCGGATATTCTGCTGTAAAGGAATAAACTGAATTATTGCTAGGTTATAATAGGAAAAATTTCAGTCTCACAGCCTTATGTCTCCAAAATGAAAAAAAAAGTCGTTTCGACACTGCAGGCATCATTAGGACAGGAAAGAAAACGGAAGACCACATAACTCCATGACATTCACTCGCATACTATGAAGCGTAGGTGGGGAACATTTCTGTCATTAGCAGTAAGATTAGGTAGTGCTTTTAGTAACTTAAAATATTAATTATTTAGGTTATGAAGATTTGAAAATTAAGTTGAAGATTCTACAAAACCATCGAATTCCTATAGTATCCAATCCTTACAATCCAAAATCCTTCGTAAAATCCTCAAAGACCCATATTTGTTCACAAATAAAACCATTCATAAAGACCTTAATGTTCCACATGTCGCTCATTTAGCCCGAGCCAGATATCTATCCTTTCATGATAAAATCCAGTCCCATCTAAATCCACTTGTTTCCAGCCTTGCTTCTTCCTCAATTCCTGATAATCCCCCAAGGCGTCTGAAAAGAAGATGGCCACGTGTTCTTCTCACCTAGAATTAAATAGGGAGTGCTAACACTGGGCAGTATCTCTTCAAGTCTGTTCATGTCATTATTTCCAATGTGTGCCTTTTTACTAGTTGTATTGTTTATACAGTTGTAAATTTCATTAAATAAATAAATTTTTAAAAAAAGTTGAAGATATGCATGTTTATGGGTGTGTGTATTTTGTGATAAATAAAAATAGGAACAGTAAAATATAAAAAAATTACTGCGGTCTTCATTACTAATATCTAACCTTACTGCGACCTTAAAAGATAAAAAGGTTGCCCGCCTTTGGTTTAGAGTATGCTTTACTCTTTTCTGTCCTGATGATGCCGGAATTGGCGAAACGTTAACTTTTTTTGTTGTTTTTTTTTTTGCCTGTATTTTGGAGACATAATGCTGTGTGGTAGGAATTTTTTCAATAATTACATTCATTTCCGGTCTCGTGGTGACTTTTTTTTACTGATATGTATTAAACTGAGTTAGTTAAGAAGTATTTTTTTTTTATTTCCCAAATATAGCAATTTTTAATTATTCCCTTCCAGTAACTTCTGGTTTAATTGCCTGTTGCCAAATAATAAACTAGGAACGTACTTTTACTTTCTCACGGATATTAGTTAATGAAACTATTGCAATTAGGTCAAACCTTCAATGTTATGTTTTCAACTGACATTTACGTTTCAGACCCGTATGGATCTTAACTCATTTTTTCTTTTGTGTATCTCGTGCATTATTATTAATTAGGGGTGATAAATATTCAGGACGCAGTCATTATAAAGTTTTTATTAGTGCTGACGTTTCAACCTAAACATGTGGGTCATCATCAGGGCGTGTTTCGAGCACTGAAGCCACGGGCGGATCTACGGAGAAGCATCACCCCCAAAGCCGGGGGGACTGAAGACCCCTTTCCCCCCAAAATGATAAAATATAACCATGGTTTATGGAAAAAATATTAAAAAATTATCTCTTTAAGTATTATTGTTCGTGTAATAACATTTAAAAGGACTTTAGGAATCACTTAAAAACCATTCCATATAGGTAGTTAGTTTCTTTCTTTTTTTTCCAAATTAATTATCATTATTTTTATGAAAAAAAAAAGCTTTCGGGCTGAAACCCCCCCAAAATTAAATCCTGGATCCGCTAGTTACTGAAGGTATTCAAGTTCTCGTGAGTACTTCAATACCTTCAGTGCTCGAAACACGCCCTGATGATGACCCACATATTTGGGTTGAAATATTGGCACTAATCACAGGCGGATTTACGGAGGGGGCTTTCGGGCTGAAGCCTCCCCCCAAAATGGTAAAATATAACCATGTTTTATATAAAACCATATTAAAAACTATCTCTTAAATTATTATTGTTCTTGTAATTACATTTAATAGGACTTCAAGAATCACTAAGACACCGTGTCATATGGGTAGTTAATTTCTTTCCTCATTTTTTCACACTTTTTTAATTATCGTTATATATATGAAAAAAAAACACCCTTCGGGCTGAAGTCCTCCCCCCAAATTAAATAATGGATCCGCTGGTGGCACTAATAAAAACTTTGTAATGATTGCGTCCTGAATCACTTCCAATTATTAATTAGCGAGTATTATTATTAGTAATTGTAGAGATAAAACGGCTTTAACGATTTAGATAAAACTTGTTAAAGCATTCTTCTAAAAAATCTTAAGTTTTTATTTAAGATGCGCTTCCCAGAAAAAAAATAGTTCTAAAGAAAACAAAATTTCAGGCCCATAATTCAAAAAGTATACACACAACAGTTTGAAAATAATTCAATTCTCTTAAAAATAAATAAGTAGCAACTAATAGCAAACCTTCTGAAAGAAATCCAAGAAAGGTCTATGTAAATGATCGGTTCGGATCGGCGTTTCTGTTTTAAATTGTAAATTTGTTTTTTCTCTGATTTGTTAAATAAATCCATATATTTATAAAGGAAGTGGTACAGATCCATCTCAGCTATTTTTACCGTCATGTGCAGCCAAGGACGTAAGCAGCTTTCATATCGGGGGGAGGGGGCAAGGCGGAAAATTACAGGTAGATAAATGATTTCGAACTCTATATTATTTAGTATATCTATAGCACACTGCTTAAGATTTGTCTTCGGTACATCGAGGCGGTCTCATGTGTCCCACCTTTACGGCGAGTTAAAGTGGCTCTTCCCTTCTTTCCGCAGACAATATTTCCTTGGATCTTTCCTATTCCAAACGATCAACACCCGACACTCTTCCTACATCTACAATCTCCTACAGTTCAAACCCGTGGTCCACTCCCAGAAAACAAGATCCCGTGTTTCCGACCTTTATATCCCTTCCGATAGAACTAAGACATTTGAATATTCCTTTATTGCCCGATCCACTGCCTTCTGGAATTCCTTGCCATCTGATATCCGCCATGCCTCTTCCTTATCCTCTTTTAAATAACATCTCTACCAATTCCTTCTCACATCACAAAATGACGTTATACAATGAAATAAATATTGCGAAACAGATTTTGACTGAGGTGAATGGTTGATAAAGTTGATTGGGTTTTAATTTTAAAAATCAATCCACAAACTGCAGAACCATCCGAATCCTCTCGTTTCAAACCTTGCTTTCTCCTCGATCCCTGATAATCCTCCGAGGCGTCTGAAAAGAAGATGGCCTCGGGACCTTCTAATATAGAACTTTAATTTGAGTTCTACCAATGGGTAGTTTCTCTTCATGTTGTACATGTCATGTTACCAATGTCACATTTACTTATTGTATTTTCCATGTAATACAGTTGTAAATCTCAATATAAGAAAATTAAAAAAAAAAAAAAATCAACCCATGCTTACATTATTTTTTTATTTATTTTTTTTGTTTAAATAATGTTTATAATAGTTTCGCCACTTTTTAGCCTTTTTATGAACGCAACCCCGGACCATCTCCTTCCTTTATAATGCAACGGTCAACTATTAAATATTCAATATAAATAATGTTTTTTTTCTTTTCTTTTCAGAATGGTGTTATTTTTACTTATTTTAATATACTTTTACAGAGATATTGCATATTTTCTTTAATACTGAATAATGTAATTTTTGGCCAGATGAAGTTTTTATTTCTTTGTTCATAACTGTTATTCATAAGGGACCTCGTCCCAGAATAAAGTTTACTTTCTATCTATCTATCTATCTATCTATACTACCGTATAATCTATAGTATACGTATATATTGAATTTTATTGGTCCCAAGGCACTCCCTAGGTGTACCTCTGCTTTGGGATACTTGATATCAAAGATCCCACTCACTTCCTATTTCTACAATCAAGTTTTCTGTCTTTAAACTATGAACGTTTTATTGAATTTTAGATAACAGGAAACAATTAGTTTAGTTTGGAAAGCAATCATTAATGCCAAATCTTATAAAAAGCTTGACTGATATCCAATGTTACCAAATGAAATGAACTTAAGACAGGAGTGCCCATCCCCCCAAAGCTTATAGCGGAAGAATCTACCTTTCCCCCACCTCCAAGATATTTTATTGAACATCTTATTTTAAAAACAGAGCAAAAGAAGGTAGAATAAGAAAAATCCTAGATCATACACAATTACACTTGTTGCGGTCTCTTCCATGTTTTCCTCTTGTCCCTTAGTCTGAAACTTTTCATTCCGCAAATTCATAACCCCTTCGAAGTGTACCCCCTCAAAAATTCAAAATCAGGTCGTTATGGCCACTCTCAAAAATTATGATGGCGCAACTTGCGTCATAAATCCCCCTTCTGTGCACCCCTAAACTTTTGTTACATACATTTTGAAATTAGTTTTAGAAGGG